TTTCATTGTAGCATATCTCTATATAATAATTAAAAAAAAAATTAAACAAAATTGTAGCATATTTGTTTACAACTGAAACAAACAAATAAACATTTAATAGAAATTGCTACATTTTGTCTTTATATTTTCTACAAAATTTATTTAATCTTACTACATTTTCTCATCAAATTCTCAGTTGTTGTTGTAAATGTTTGTAAGGAATTTGTCTGAGTCCCTGTCGATATTTTTCCTACAATTTACCCCTACAGTTTTATAGTCAAATTTAAGTTTACCGTTAGTTAACCTTACTACAAATTTAAGTTGCATTTTCTACAAAACGACTTCTACAACGTTATAGTAATTTTTCATAAACCATTTTTCTGAGTACCCGCATCTCTACTCCTCCTAGTACTAGAACATTCGACACGCTCAACTATTTGTGAACAGTCATCTAATCTAGGACCTTCTATACTCCTCTTAACTCCTGTTTCTGCTTTTAATATGTTTCTAACTGTCCTTTCTGCCTAAAAAATTGTAGTATTATAATAGTATATAATTATACCTTGAGTATTTCTTATTGACTTCTATATAGCCTCTGTTCTCCTACCCTTTTTAATACGTCCACCTATTCCTTTCCGCCCACCGTCCACATTTCGCACTCGTAGACGTACACCTTCAACAATTTTTTAAATTTTCTAAATTGACTATTCGGGAGCACAGAAGCGATCTCCTTTTTGTTAAAGGTGATTCAACCCTGCGTTATCTTTGTTTAATTTCTACTAAATTATCTGATTTATTTATTCATACGTATAATAAGTTTATATTTTTAACAAGACAATAACAGGCGTCTGCAATTTTCGGAATGCAAATTACCTACATATTCGACGTAGCTATCTATAACTTGATCATGCAGCATTCCACGATCTTACACGCACTGCTGTGAATATTTCGCATTACATTCTACGAGCAGTTAAATTCAGATCGGAATATATCAACCTCGGATATATGAACTTTTGGCGGTACTCAGATATCTGGCACTTAATTAAAATCCTCTGTCGATTACATACCCTGGAAGCTGCAAGTACTCAACTTGGGACGTTATTCACGAACGGTCGTTTCTATTATGTCTCAACTAAATTTCGGACTCAGATCATTTCTGGTTACTCGTCGCTTGCGTTACGAGGTAGACATGAATTTTTGATGTTATTGGAAAATATAAACGGACTGGATGGTATGAAATATGATCCAATATATTGTGGGTCACTAAGCATTAATGTTGGATTTTAAGTAGTAAAATTTACGTTTGGCACTTTTGTTTAATGTATTGTAGTTAATGTTTTATTCATTAAACAATATTAAATAATTGTGTATTGGCGTCGGAATATAGTAGGTATGTCACAAAAAGGCCTACCAAATAGTTCCTGTTATAAATTTTTTAAGTTTAAAAATTTGAGAATCAATAACGTGAAATATTGCTTAATTTATTAACAACAAAATATGAGTCCTGATCATAACTAATCATCATCATAAGGTCGTCAGTCCTAAGACTGGTTGGACACGCATCCCCACACTTAATCATAAACTAATTTTCACATCTCCCTAAAACTAGAACATCCCACATCATTAACTATTTGTGAATAGCAATTTAATCTAGGTCTACCTCTACTCCTCCTAACTCCCATATCGTTCGCACTTTAAAAAATCCATAGCTCCCCAGATGTACGTCCTATCCGTACCAAAATAAGCTCGTTCGAAGCGCAATGAATGCGGAAAGTTTTCGACGGAAGCACTATTAAATTGTGACACTCCTGGTCCGCGTCAGGGGCGACCCAATTCGCGGAATTTGCTTTTTGTTCTTTATAGTGTTTTTCTGAGGCCACAAGATGGGCCCTGTTTCCGGACTGGGTGGTCCGATCACAATGGGGCTACCATCAAAATTTTCTAGGGCTACTGTGCTCTGTGCCGAGAGCAAAAGCGCCCACCTACGAGCTTCCGTTTCGGAGTTATGGCTGTCGGAACTTGTGGCAAAATGTTGTCTTCGAAATCGAGAATGAAATATTTAGGAGAACATATCTGGCGAACTATTGAAGATAGCGCAAAAATTCTTTCACCATCGGTTGGCCCGTACCTAATTGTACAGGAAAAATTCAATTTCGAAGAAAAAAAAAATTAAAAATTTTCAAAAATTTTGAATTTTTTATCACCACCGAATGCGACCGTATACGGCTCAAAACGTTCGCACTGCGACGGGGCATCCGTCAGTGAAAGAATTTTTCCGGTAGGTCGTACCGTTTTCCAGCTACAGCTCGCAAAACGTCAGTTTTAGGACCAGAGCGCTCGCAAACATGGCCGCGATTAAAAATCCATAGCTCCCCAGATGTACGTCCGATCCGTACCAAAATGGGCTCGTTCGAAGCGCAATGAATGCGGCAAGTTTTCGACGGAAGCACTATTAAATTGTGACACTCCTGGTCCGCGTCAGAGGCGACCCAATTCGCGGAATTTGCTTTTTCTTCTTTTAAGTGTTTTTCTGAGGCCACAGGATGGGCCCTGTTTCCGGACTGAGTGGTCCGATCGCAATGGGGGTACCATTAAAATTTTCTAGGGCTACTGTGCTCTGTGTCGAGAGCAAAAGCGCCCACCTACGAGGTTCCGTTTCGGAGTTATGGCTGTCGGAAGTTGTGGCAAAGTGTTGTCTTAGAAATCGAGAATTAAATATTTAGGAGAACCTATCTGGCGAACTATTGAAGATAGCGCAAAAATTCTTTCACCAACGGTTGGCCCGTACCTAAGTGTACAGGAAAAATTCAATTTCGAAGAAAAAAAAATTAAAATTTTTCAAAAATTTTGAATTTTTTATCAACACCGAATGCGACCGTATACGGTCCATATCGTTCGCACTGAGACGGGGCATCCGCCTGTGTAAGAATTTTTCCGGTAGGTCGTACCGTTTTCCAGCTACAGCTCGCAAAACGTCAGTTTTAGGATCAGTGCGCTCGCAAACATGCCCGCGATTAAAAATCCATAGCTCCTCAGATGTACGTCCTATCCGTACCAAAATGGGCTCGTTCGAAGCACAATGAATGGGGCAAGTTTTCGACGGAAGTGCTATTAAATAATGACGCTCCTGATCCTCGTCAGAGCCGACCCTATTCGCGGAATTTGCTTTTTGGTTTTTTTAGTGTTTTTCTGAAGCCACAGGGTGGGCCCTATTTCTGGACTGAGTGGTCCGATCCCGATGGCAGTATTACCAACATTTTTTTGCTACTGTATATCTATGCCTACAGTTCTGCCGTCTTAAATGATGTTGATCGCTTCTTCGATGCATAGATTAAATAGTAACTTAGTTACGTTGTAGAGCTAGCTAATAAAAACGAAACAATAATAGTAACTGCCCAAAGCGTGTTTTGTAGAGAAAAAGTGCCTTTTTTATACATGGGGCGTCCATGTAGATGAAAATGGAAACTGAAATTGAATAGGTGGAATGTACAGCATTACACGAACCTTCTTATCATATGAAATTCTACAAAAGAGTTGTGAACCACATTTGGAAAAGAAAAACGATTACAAGCAAGTAAAATAGAAAGAAATGTAATAGTTTTTCTGGCGTGATAATCACAAGAAAAAAATATTGAAGTGCCATGGCGAGAGACACACGCAGATGGGAATTCTTTATACATATATTTCGTTTAAATGTTATTCCGATTTTCTCTGCAGCTGGTATCTTTATCGGGGTGTTATTAGCTATATACATAATAGAAATAGTAAAACAGATAGCTCTTTTTGCTATTTCCGTAGCTACTCCAATTACCGCAATTACATATTTCAGCACAGAAGTTTTTCCAATTTATAATTCAGTTATTGAAACTGCTGAATGATTATACACTTCCGTCAGTCGATTCTCGTGCAGTTTTATCAATTGATTTTCAATGGAACGGCGGGGGTTAGCTACACTTGAAATTGTTGGATGTAAAATTTAGCGTCATTAATTTTCTATTGGCAAACTTTCTGCCTGTCCATTTGAGCCAATAATGGTAATGAAATTCGACTAGATTAGGTCTCGATATCGATGCAACTGGATCTTTATGGTTCTCGTTCGTGAATTGTCATGACAAATGACAAAGTTCTACACTACTCGCAATTTATATCTGACCGCATTAAATAAATTACCTTCGCCGACTTAAACTGTGTGGAATTACAAATCGATTTTGAATCGAAACTGAACCAATCATATTTACACTGGTGGTTTAATGGTCTGATACACTGTAAATTTTCTCTTCTATTACTATCGTGTTTTGTTTTATTTAATGAAGGTTCTATTTGTTTTGGAACGGCTATACAGATGCGATTAAATATGCGGTATGAGTTTTGAGCGAGTGAATATTTGAAATGCATTACCGCCTATTATCTGACTCTAAACGGGAAAATAACTTTAGAATTTTCCTCAAAATTAGAGATTACCTAAAATAAAACAACTGATATCAAAGTAAAAGAGAAAATGAATGTGTATATGGAAGGAGGAATGAAACAGAGAGAAAGAGAGAGTGGATGAATGAATGAGGGCGCATATGAATGTACTCTCTCTCATAAGCACCCTCTTTCAAGAGGGGTAAATGGAAGAGTGAATGTGGAAAGATGCATAAGAAAGAGGGAATGGATAAAAGTGGGTACTTATGAGGGTACTCACATTCATAAGCACCCTTTTTCACGAAGGGAGAGGGCACCCTCCCCTTGTGGAGAGAGGAGCCCTCCTCTCATGGAAAGGGTGCCCTATCCACGAGGGATGTGGTTACCCTCCTAGGAATGAAAGGGAGGGGTAGGGTGTAAATCAGTAAAACAACAGAATATACCGCTGCATACGTTTATTATTTTATTTATAATAAAAACGAAGACAAATTTTTCTAATGATTATAGTTAATGTTAGAAAACAGACGAAACGTGATTACAAATGTAAAAATAAATGAATCACAATAAATCAGTGAATAAAAAGAACATTAGACACAGTTATCCTTTTGTTGCAGATGTTCTATTTAAATTGGAAGATGTCCACTAGATGCCTAGAATCAACCGTCAGCAGGAGTCGAATTGATGCGGTGCAAGTCCAGATTCCTGAATTGGATTTCATGTAAGAAAAAGAAACTTAATTTTTTGTTTTGAGTGAATAAAATTTCTCCATGAATGTCTATTTCAATAAGATGAACCGGAGTGGCTTGTAAACCAGGGATGCACCGGATAGATTTTGCCGGGTACCGGATAACCGTGTACTCGACATTAGTTGTGCTGTTCACGCCTTCGTTCTGACAGGTTTTCTGTTAATTACGAACCATCAACGTCCCAAATCATTAATTAAATACCGTTCAAAAAGTTATTTAAACAATCAACCAATGCAATATTACATTACATACTTTTAAACTTGGTCTTAAGGGAAGAATTTTCGTTGTTTCGATAGGGTTGTTTTATACTCCCATTTTTTCAAATATACATACGCTTAGACGTACGTTTCTCGTACGCAGGGGCGTCGTCTTTAGGGTAAAAGTTAAAACAAGTAAATTGATTATTACTAAGCGTCTTTATATTTTTTATAGATGTTTTGGACTTGAATTACCGATTCATACACTTAAGTAAACTAAAATACCAATATCTTGAGTTAAGTTGTTATTTTTTTCTGTTATCTTAGTCATTTTAATTATTCTTTTTATCAGTCATAGATAAATTAATAAATTAAGGCTAGTTAAGGATGTAGGTGCCAATTGTAAAATTAAAATCGTATTTGTAAGGAAATGATACATAAATTTCTAAAGGTACATAAATCATTTTCCTCACAGTGTCTTAATAAATTCTTAATGATTTTTGTTGTCCTGGAAATTCATAATAATAGAAAATTTAAAACAAAGTCTAACGACGGTGAATACAATTTACATTTTCCCATTTTCGAAATTACATTAAACTTGATAACGACGCCCCTGAACGCTTGGTGATGTGTGTGCGGGGAAATGCATAATTCTCAGTCCCTTAGGGAGAAACGCGGAGGTGGGATCTACTTGCCAGACAAATTGCTACTCACACGCTTTTACAAATTACTCTCCTGTTTCATACACATATGTGTACGTGTACCACGTACCTATGTATATAAGTAAGTAGGTGAGCAACGTCGTTGTAGTTGTGATTGTTACTTTGTTGTTCACAAATTATGTCGCTGCTTAAGCACTTTACAAGCTTCAGCCCCATTTCCTGCAAATAATCAACCAACAGTTCAAGAAAATGGAAAAGATTTAAAAGATGCAGAAAGAGTTAATTAAAAACCGAAACTCGTTTCAAATTTTTCTTTTATTGATTGTGTTGATGAACAAAATTGATCTCAAAATCTTGCAGTTTTGGTACCTAATAATACTACGAGTGCCAAATTGCACAATAAAAATAAGAAATAAGAACCATTTTGTTTAGACACTTAAAGTTTGATCGTCTAAAAAAAATGGCTATTGGAGCATAAGTTTTAATACAACACAAAATTAATGTAAATCGACAAAATAGTAGTATCATTTGTTAATCAACTTTAACTTTAACTTTGACGATCAAATCAATCATCAATAATTTGTACGGTATTAAGATTTTTGCTTTTGTATATGTCTAATAATCATCTACCACGATAATAAGATTCAATTTTCTAAGTTTGGAGAGGTTTGGATTTTTCATCTTCCGCATAATCTCAATGTTAGTATTAGCATTTAGCAAAAAAAAGATAGAGATTATATGAAAGCGGTGTTGACTAAACAGTATTGTATGAAAATAAATAAAACTGGAACAAAAATATTGGTATGCAAGGGAAGAAAGAGTAGAGGAAAAATGAATATATAGATAGGAGACGAAAAATTGGAAGATGTGGCTGATTTTCAGTATCTAGGAAGTCAGATAACTTAGGATGGATGAAGCAGTAGAGATATAAAAGAGAAGATAACAAAAGAAGACACTTCTAGAAATTCGAAAAAGATTAAAGATACAAGAAAAAGCAGGAGAACAGTGGGCGCTGTGGAAGTCAATAATGAATAGACGAGATAGGTTGGTAGGACACCTTCTCAGGCATGAAGAGACATATTAGAAGCAGTAACATGAACTAAGAGGAGAAGATATAAACCTAGGGATAAACTTAAGGAAATGCGAAGATTAGCTGACAGAAAAGAGCTGAGGTGGGTGTCAGCTAATTTTAGGACTGACGACCTTATGATGATGATGATGATGATGGAATTCTACGTGTTTCATTCACCATATAATGGTTGAGTTATAGGGAATGAAAGTTGCATACTACTGAGGGTCTAGACTACACATCTATTTGAAGAAGTCATTTTGCAGCGAAATAATTAACGTTGTCTAACCGTATTAGAAATTCCAAATTTTTCAGAAATGTTTGCTCCTTGCATACAAACTGTAAAGTTAATTTTGAAAGGAACGATTGTGTGCAAGGTAATAGTTGTAATGTTCTCTGAAGAAAATTGCTTTCAGAAAGTTGTCTGCATCGACTAGTTCCTTTTCTGATCGACACACGATATCGCATGCTGTCGTGCTATCCATCAAAACAATTTGTAACGAGTTGTGCGAAGAAAGGCTTTGATGCCAACACCGATCGGGATCTATCAGTTTCTGCTATTGCAGGGCTTTTAACGTAATACGATCGTTATTAATTAATTATTGATTTTACACCTGGGCATTGTACACGCGAGGCATGTGAATTAAATGCTAAAGTAGTCTAACATAACGAAAAGTTTATTTGCATTCCAGACAATAGTCAGCCCAAAAAGGACTTTTTGCTATGCTGGTTTAGGCTATGTTAGATACGGTTGGCTTGTTACGTTGCTTTCTTCTAATTACCTCTTACGCTTTCACCACCCCTTGCTCTCACCTACAAACTTTTTTCCCTTTATTGCAAACAATTATTTATAATTATTAGGGAGTCTATTTCTCTAGAGATATCGATCTAATTTTAGAACACTTGTTAATCTTAGAATAAGAAAAGCTGCTGTGCAGATTTGTGAAGGATGTTGTATTGTAAGGGAAAAGGATAGAACAAAAACGAGGAGTATTTGTTATCCCAATACAGAACTGATTGAAAAGGACGCGGCGGAATTAGCGATGATGCCAACATAAATTTTGATCTTTTATAAGAACGAGTACGAGAGGTAGAAAGACGAAAGACGGTAATGGAAAGTAAACAGCCCCTCCGTTTCTATGTTGCATCCCGCTGAGAATACCCATCAGTAAACAATTTCGTTAAGTGTATTATCAGATTGCAACTGACGGAGAATTTATCGAATAACTGACGATGATAACCGGGACGTTTTAAATTATTTCCATGCCACGCTACCGCTACATCAGCACAATCAGTCCTGAGCTTTTGTTATTTAAATATTTTAACGCGTTTTCGCCAAATTTACTTTCTCGAAACGACAATTTAATTGTCATTAATGATTTAAAACTAATTTGAAAATACCTTCGCCTTTTCAACTGGGACAACATTAATTGATCCGCTGTTATCTCAGTTTCATGTAATATTTAATTTTCTAAAAAAGGACTTCCATGTACAGAACATTTATTAATTTTAATTAGTCTAACAAACACACATATTATCGGGTACCTCTTTATATACGTAAGGCAGAATGCTCACGAAACTTTTACAAATTACACTTTTTTTGTTGGAATTTTGAAATATGTTTCATTCAAAATTTCTAATGGAAATTAGTTAGAGGAAAAGGGGAAATTCAAAATTCAATTTGTCTCAAAAGTTGGTTTGTTTAGGATAACTGTTTGTTTACCCTTGAAAACCCGATGAGTACTGCTTATTTATTATAAATAAAGAAAATTTTGCATGTATTTTACCCTCTAGATAAAGTCTTGAACATTTAAAAACGTAATAGGAATTAGTCGGTTTTACATTTGCATTACGTGAATACTAAATTACATTAATGTAGTTTAGCTTGGAGAACCTTAAAAAAAAATGAGTAACAGGTATGCGGCTGGGCTTTTACGTACAGTAATAAATAAAAATGCCGGCTGTAACTTGTTCTATGTAGTAGAATAATTTTTCCCGTTCATTTATATTGCTGTTTTATTCTTCCTAGACAACAGGTAAAATTTAACTTATCTCTAGTGACTTGTTTTAGTTAGGGCTGGATCGGGCATTCCACAATATTTTATATATCTATGTGCCATAGTTATTTTATTAGTTATTTGATGTCATCATCATAAGGTCATCAGTCCTAAGACTGGTTGGATACGTACCTCCACTCTTTCCTATCCTGAGCTAAACTTCGCATTTCCCTAAAACTAGAACATCCCACATCCTTAACTATTTGCGAACAGTAATCTAATCTAGGTCTACCTCTACCCTTCCTAACTCCTGTTTCTTCCTCTAATATGTCTCTGACTAGACCTTCATGCCTAAGAAGGTGTCCTACCAACCTATCTCGCCTATTTTTTATTGACTTCCACAGAGTCCTCTGTTCTCCTATTCTTTCCAATACCTCTTCATTTCTAACCTTTTCTACCCACGATATCCTCATCATCCGCCTATAACACCACATTTCGAACGCTTCTAACCTTTTCTTTTCCGCCGCTCCCACTGTCCATGTTTCGCACCCGTACAACGCCGTGCTCCAAACATACACCTTTAACAACCTTTTTCGAATTTCTAATTTAACCGTTCGCGAGCATAGAAGTGACTTCTTTTTATTAAAGTTATTTGATGATGTAATTAAAATTATTAAGGACACAATAACCTTAGGGTTACACATACAGGTACAAAAGATTAAGTATAATAGCATCTAGCAAGGAGGAATTAGAGTTAGCTTTAAAAAGGAACGGAAGAGCTTTGAATAGAAGGGTATGGTATGAAAATTAATAACAGTACCTAAGGGATGTAATAGTAGGGTTCGAACTATTGTCAAAGTAGGAGACGATATACAAACATGTCGCTGATTTTTGGGATTTTGGGAGTCAGATAACCCTGGATGGTAAAACGCAAGAGAGATTAAACAAAGAATAGTTCAGGGTGGAGTCGTTTTTAAGAAAAATATATCACTGTTGTGATAAATATGTGTTTAACGATATGCTTTTTCTGTTTTTCCGATAAAATTTTCTCGACAACATTATTTTAATAGCGTTTTAATTGAGTTTATATTATTATTAAGTAGTAGGTGGAAAATACTTCCCTCGATTCGATAAATAATTAGAAGAACAGTAGCTGAAAGCAAACTGGGACTGCGTCAATACGGGATCAGCTGCAGTTTGCTTCAACGCAGTGGCTGTTTTATAAATAAATAAACTAAAGACTAGCATTTTCTTGTTACGGAGATAAGACAGGAGTTTAGAAATGTGGTATCAGAAAGAGCCCTAATCTAAAGAAATTATGGGGAGGGTTTTGGTGTCGTTTTGTTCATACTTACACAAGCAAAAGTTTTTTGAAATGTTATTATGTTTGTTACAGATGCTTTCTGTTCTTCTTTTTTTGGAACAGTCATATAAGAAGGAAGAAGATGTGAACACAATGGTTAGTACATATTTTTCAATTACTTATATGGGAACATATACATATATATTTCTCATGTTATAATTTTAACTTGTAATGCATTATTGCTTATTGTAAATTAGCCATTTTTATGTTATCTATTTACTTATAATTGTTGTTTGTTGTTTGTTTAGTGGTTTCGATACATCCTGTACTACGAAGAGGCTTAGAGGAATTCTGGGGTTGGTCACGGATCAAATTTTCTGGAAATGATGTTACGTATTCAAGTAAACCATTGCACCGAAACCGTTTTTCACAAATCTACTGCAGAAAAAAGGACCACCATTGAAGCATACGATAATTTTTTTAAAAATGCATATACAAAAGGGATTTATTGAAAAAAAAAAACTTCAGT